AGGAGCTCTGGGCTTGTTGCTGGGACTTCATCCTGACAAGGCCCCGAGGTAAGAGCGGTGATGTCGTGGGGCTGCAGGAAAATGGTCCAGGGAATTAGAGCAGTGGTGCAGCGTAGCTAAAGGGATACAGCAGATGGCTGCTACCTACAGGGCTCCTGAGCTGGGACCCGGAGTAGTGAGCAGGCCTGGATTCCCCCCCCCCATTAGCCCCAGGGGGAAGTGGCCTGACTTTGAGGCACCCCAGAAGGGGAACTGACCCCTTTAGTGGCCCAGCAGGAGAGCTGAGGCCTGAAATGAGGTGAGGACATTAACTCTAAGGGGAAGCCCTGGAGTATGGCCCGATACCAGGGCTGGGACCATTGATAGACCACGGGACGAATTAAGGGCCTAAGGCCAAGAAGGGCTACAGGGAAAGAAAGTGCAGGCCCACACACGCTCCACCAGGGGGCGCTCGCGAGAGGTGAGTGCACCCCATTACAGGGGGTAACAATAACAATTAAGATAGTCCAGCACAGCCTTCAGTGCTGGTTAGAGAGCCCGAGCTAGGCCCTGGGTGTGTACTCCGCTTCTAGCTCATGCTGAAGCCTGGGCTGTCACCGTTTTTACTGCTAGTGTTAAACCCAAGCTGGCTGGATCCAGCTAACTGGAACTAGAGGTGCTGGGGGTGCTGCCGCACCACCTGGCTTGAAGAGGTTTCCATCAGTTTTGTTCAATGGCTCTCAGCACCCCCATTGTACACATTGTTCCAGCGCCCCTGGGATGATGTGTTTCTGCTCCCGATTGCTGGACAAATTTTCATTGGTGCTACACCGCAGACCACTGGATGAATTCGGTCCAGAAAAATTGGAGACAGCAAAGACAGCTGGCCCAGAACAGAAATGGAAATCCACTGGGGAATGGATTATTAAATGCCGGGATTGGAATGGTATGCCCATTCGTGGACCGCTGCTTCTGGTCCCGGAGGACCAGCATGGTGTGGTGGGATGACATTGTCTTCGAAACCTGGGATGACAACCACTGGCTGCAGAACTTCAGAATGAGAAAGCAGACCTTCATCGAGTTGAGCAAGGAGCTCGCACCAGCCCTCCAGTGCCAGACCACTTGTTTTTGCTGATGCATATCGATGCAGAAGCAGGTGGGTATCACTCTTTGGAAGCTGGCAACACTTGACAGATACCGGTTGGCTGCAAACCAGTTTGGAAGTCACCTGTTGGCGGTGATTAAACAGGTGTGCCAGGCTTTTAGTACTATGAGCTATCCATGGGGGGCTGAAAGTCTTTGAAATTATAGCAGGATTTCAGTGGACAGTTTTTTCCGAACTGTGCGAGGGCCATTGATGGAACACACATCCCTGTACTTTGCCCACTGAAAAGGACCAGTCAATTCGTGAACTGAAAAGGACACTATTCATGGCTCTCCAACGTTTAGTGGACCACAGGGATCAGTTCATGAACATCAACCTTGGACACATGGGAAAGGTCCATGATGCCAGGATGCTCAGGAGGTTGGGATTGTGCCACATGGGGAAAAGGGGACATTATTCCCCAGAAATGATGCGATTATGCATGGAGTTTCTGTGCCAAGATTTATTTTGGGAGACCTCCCCCCCCATACCTGCTCCTACCGTGGCTCACAAAGCCATACACTGACATCACCAACCCAAGAGAAAGAGAATTCAACTACACTCTGAGTAGCTGCCGAATAGGAGTGGAGCGCCCCTTTGGGCATCTGAAAGCCCGTTGGCGATGCCTCCGGACCCATCTGATTGCCAGTGTGACCAATCCGGATCATCCCAGCATGCTGTGCTTAGCAAAATGCAGATGAAGCTAAACGGGAATATTTCCACACAGAGTAGGCACAGGACAGAACTGCTTTCCAGAGCCAGACCCCACCTGTATGCACCCTGCTCCTGGTTCCTGATGGTCCAGGGGAATTCATGATACTGTGTGCTTGAACATCATGGAAGAGTGGGGAGCTGAGCTAGCAGGTGACTTGGGACTGTGGCAAGGCACAGTATTGTGATGCTGTGGTGGTGCTGAAAAAGCTCAATAGACCCTTGAAGCACACTTGTGTAACAACATACTTTGGTGGGTTTCAATCCCCTGCAGCTGCCGGTAATGTACTAAGTGAAAGCAGACCGATGTGGGAGGCCTTCACGGTTAAAACCTTTGGATGTGGTTTTGTGCTAAGAAAACTGTTAATGTACTTTAACACCATAATGTTTTTGTTGCATGTTCACTGTTCTGTTTTGAGGTGGTTTATGGGGAGCATTGAAGTATTATTAAAGTAATTCAAAAACAGTTCTGTAAGGTTTGGTGAATGACTTCACACACTCCTTCCTCACCATTATGTCTGACCAAGACCTTGTCTACACTACAGGTTACTTTGGTATACATTCCATCGGGAATAATCCACACCCTGGAGGGACATAAGTTATACTGACATAAGAGCTAGTGTGGACAGTGCTATGTCAGCGGAAGAGCTTCTCCAACCAACATAGCTACCCCTCTCGCAGAGGCAGGAGTTATTAAATCGATGGGCGAGCTCTCACCGATTGGCTTAGAGAGTTTCCGCCACAAGCACTACAGTGGTACAGCTGCACCGATGCAGCTGCCGCAATGTAGATGTAGCCATGATTGCCTACAGCTCTTACGAAGTGCTACGCGTGACTACTCCCAGGGTGTGACTACTCCCACACGTGCGTGTGGTAACTATCTGGTGGGGGAGAGAGGGGAGTCGTAAAAGCACCGCTCGGTATCAGCTATCTTCATTGTTTCTTTACTTTTGCTTTCTTTGTCTGTGTCATCAGTGCATTGTGGGGACGGCCCTGGAGGACTAGAGATATCCACGACCTGGTACATTCCCCTTCCCCCTGTCCTTGCTGCATGGTAGAACACGTATGGGGCCAGGCCTCAGCAGAGGCCTGAACATACCCACACCCATTATGTGTGCTAGCATTCACGCACTTCACTCTCCTTCAGGAACTCAGATCTGGCTGATCAAGGGTTAGGGCACAACAATGCATAAGTAACTGTGTACAGTCACAAGTGTATATGCACCCTTATTGTATGGTTATATAGTACTGCCTATCCCTCTTCTACCAGTAGGGGTCATCATTTGTGTATATGTTGTTCCTACTCTAGATAGTATCTCTTTTTGTGTCAAGCTAGGTATCCCATTACTG